GCGGGTCTGATGGTGATACAGTCTTTCATTTTATGCACACCTGAAAAAAAAATCTGTATTTTGTCTTCATTTTTGAAATAAAATTCTAGAAGTTCTTTTCTTCCAGCACTTAAAAAATGGTGCTCAACTGTCTTCCTGCTTGTATGGCTTCTGATGAGAACTCTACGGTCATCTTTATCTTTGTTCACTGGTTTTAAGCAAGCTTATTAAGTTGTGCTTTGGTTTAGTTTTATATTTTATATATATAAAGTTTATATATATATATACAATTTTTTTTTTCTTTGTGATGGAGTCCCTCTCTGTCTTCCAAGCTGGAGTGCAGTGGCATGATTTTGGCTCACTGCAACCTCCATCTCCTGGGTTTCAGAGATTCTCCTGCATCAGCCTCCCAAGTAGCTGGAACTACAGGTGCTAACCACACCCAGCTAGTTTTCATATTTTTAACAGAGACAGGCTTTCACTATGTTGGCCAGGATGGTCTCAAACTCCTGACCTCAGATGATCTACTGCCTAGGCCTCCCAAAGTGTTGGGATTACAGGCGTGAGCCATGGTGCCCGGCCTGGTTTAGTTTTCTTCATGTTTCTTTCTTTGGTATTCATTGAGCTTACTAGATTTGTGGGGTTATAGTTTTTATCAAAAAGTTTGACCATTATTTCTTTAAATATTTTTGTCCTCCCACCCTGCAAGTCTCCTTTGAAGACTCCGGTTGCTCACACATTAGGACACAGCTCACTGATGGTCTCTGTTTTTTTTTTTTTTTACTCTATTTTGTTTTTTAATTGTTAGGTTTTCAAATTTACTAATCTTTTATTCCACAAAGTTTAATATTTTACTAATCCCATCAGTGTATTTCTAACATACATGGCAGTTTTGGTTTTAGAAGTTTGATTTGGGTCTTTTTTCATCTTAAATAGCTCTCCTGAACTTTCTGAATATATATGTATATGTATAACTTAAAGTTAAAATGACTGTTTTAATGCCCTTGCCTGTTCATTTAACATCTGTGTCAGTTCTGAGAGGATAAGATTAATTGATTATTCCCCTCATTATCCGTTGTATTTTCATGCTTCTTGCATGTTGAGTATTCTTTGATTGGATACTGGACATTATGACTTTTACCTTGTTGGCTGTTTGATATTTTCATATTCTCATAAATATTCTTGAGCTTTGCTTTGGGGATGCATTTAAATTACTTAGAAACTGTTTGTTCTTTTCAGATCTTGCTTTTAAGACTTTTTAAGCAGGACAATTCTCAGTCTAGGCCTAATTGTTCTGCATTGCTGGGGCAAGACCTTCCTGCCTGCCTGGATTCTCTACCTGGTGTTCTGTGAATCTTGAGTTTTTTTTTTTTTTGTCTGACTAATGGAAGCAGGCTCTCTTCTTGGCCCTGTATGAGCAGCAGGCATTGTTATTTCTGATTCTTTGCAGTGGTTATTTCTCTAGCTTCAGGTAGTTTCCTCACAGACATGCACTGGTCAATACTCAGTTTAATACTCAAGGGGGAGTATTTGTGTTGCTATAAAGGAATACCTGAGGCTGGGTAATTTATAAAGAAAAGAGGTTTATTTGGCTCATGGTTCTCTAGGCTATAAGAAAGTATGGTGCCAGCATCTGCTTCTGATGAGAGCCTCAGGCGTCTTCCTCTCATGGCAGAAGGCAAGGTAGAGCTGGTATGTAGAGATCACATGGCAAGAGAGGAAGCAAAAGAGGAGATGTGGGTGTGCCAGGCTCTTTTAACAACCGGCTCTCTTGGCAACGAATATAGTGAGAACTCACTCACTCTTCTTCTTCCAGGGAGGGCATTAATTATTTATGAGTGATCCACCCCTATGACCCTGACACATCTCATTAGGCCCTGCTTCCCCAACACTGGGGATCAAATTTCAACGTGAGATGTGGAGGGGACAAACATCCAAACCACAGCACGGAGCCTCTGCAGATTTTTACCTTCTTTCTTTGTGCAACTCTCTCCACCACAGTATTCTATCAACACAGCTGCCTCTGTGTTCCTGGCCTCATGGCGATACCTGCTCACCTCCTGGGGGCCTGCTGGATTCCACTTTGGTTCTCCTTCTCTGTACTGTGGCCTGGAAATTCTCTCAAGTCATAAACCTGAGGCAATCATAGGGCCTACTCCATTTGCTCCCCATCTACAGGGATTCTATTTTTTTTTTTTTTTGTTAGTGTTCAATATTTTAAAAACGATTGTTTTAGATTTTTGTCCATTTTTGGTTGTTTCAGGTGGGAAGGTCAATCTTTTTATATTCCATGGCCAGAAGGAGAAGTCAGCATTTAATAACATTCTTTATTTATTATTATTATTCGAAACAAGGTCTTGCTCTGTCACCCAGGCTAGAGGGCAATGGTGCAATCATAGCTTACTGTAACCTCAACTTCTTAGGCTCAAGTGATCCTCTTGCCCCAGCTTCTTGAGTACCTAGGACTACAGGCACGCACTACCATGCTCAGCTAATTTATTTGATTTGATTTGATTCAGAGACAGGGTCTCACCATGTTGCCTAGGCTGGTCTCAAACTCCTGGGCTCAAGCACTCCTCCTGCCTTAGCCTCCCAAAGTGTTGGGATTATAGGCATGAGCCATAGTGCCCAGCCAACATTCTTTTATAGTGAAAAATATCTATCATAGATAATTTAAAAATATCTCTTTAAGTTGCTTTCCCTTTTTCATTCTGTATTTTGCTTTTTTTCTTTATCTTAGTCTTACTAGAATGTTGTCTATTTTATTAGGCTTTTCAAAGAACAAAATTCTGATTGTGCTAATCCTCTCCATAATTTTTTCTCTATTTTATTGATTTCCTTTTTTTTTTTTTTTTTTTAAGAGAGAGGGTGTCACTCTATCACCCAGGCTGAAGTGCAGCGGCCTGATCATGGCTCACTGTACCCTTGAACTCCTGGGCACAAACGATTCTCCTGCCTCATCCTCTCAAGTAGCTGGGACTGTAGGTGCACGCACCACACCTGCTAGTTTCTTTATTTTAGTAGACACAAGGTCTCACTATGTTGCCAGGCTAGTCTTGAACTCCTGGGCTCAAGTGATTCTCCCACCTCAGCCTCCCAAAGTGTTGGGATTACAGGCCTGAGACGCTGTGCTGGGCTACTTTATTGATTTCTGTCTCCTTTTTTCATTGTTTTCTCCCTTGTCACAAATTCTTTCTTTGAGTTTACTCCATTGATCCTTTTCAGTTTCTAAGTTGAATGTTTAGCTCATTTAGTATCAGTATTTCTTTTCTGATCTTGTCAAAGCTGTAAATTACTTTCAGGGACTGGATGCTTTGATATGTAGTGCTTTCATTGGCAGTCACCTCTAAATGACTGCCAATGATTATTTCCTGCATGATTTTCTTTTTATAGGATAACCACTTAGAAAGGTTTTGTTTTTGTTTCAGAAAGAGGGGATTTTTTTGATATGTTAAAAATTGATTTTAATATTATTGACTTGTGACTCAAGAACAGAGTCCAGAGACCAATGATTCCCTGGAGTTTATTGTTCTCTGTGGCATTGTTTCTGAATGTTCCCTTTGTGGTCATTGAGCAAGTGTTCTCTGTTGGGAGTTGTAAAATTTATATAGCTAAGGTGGAGATTATTAATTGTGATAGTTAAATCTTCTATATCTTTGCTTAATTTCGTCTGTGTAATCCAGCAGTTTCTTAAGGGGAACATATCAAAAACTCCAGTCTCCCGTTAATTGGTCACCTGTTTCTTTGTGTATCACAGGCTTTTCACTGCATGTTCTTGATCATTTCTTATTTTTACTTTATATAATAAGATTCCTCTTTGTCCCTTTATCATGATCTTGCCTTAAATACTATGATCTAAAAAGAAAATTGCTATACCACTTACTTTGTGTTTCAGATTTGCTTGATATTTCTATCCCTCCCTTTCTATTCCCCCTTTCCAATCCCCTCTTTCCAATTTATCTGTATCTTTTATTCTATCCCCCCTTTCCAATTTATCTGTATCTTTTTGTTTTAAATTTGTCTCTTCACATAGTATATTTCTGGATATCTTTTTTTCTCTAATTACAAATTTTTTCACCGGGCGCGGTGGCTCACGCCTGTAATCCTAGCAATTTGGGAGGCCGAGGTGGGTGGATCACCTGAGGTCAGGAGTTCAAGACCAGCCTGGCCAACATGGTGAAACCCCATCTTTAATTAAAAAAAAAAAAAAGGAAAATAAAAAAGATAAATTCTTTCGTTTATTTTTTTTTTCAACCCATTTGCTATTGCATTAGGACTGATCATAGCCATCTTGTATTTTTTCTATTATCACACTTTTTTGTTTTGTTTTAAAGAGATGGCATTTCAACATATTGTCCAGGCTGGACGATTCTTCTGCCGCAGCCTTCGGAGTAGCTGGGACCCCTGCAGGCCAGCAGGCTCTTCCTGTTTCCAGTGGGTAGACTGTATTTCCTGCTGCTTGGAAGAGTATGCCGTGATTCGATTTCACTCAACTTGGGCCAGGCGCAGTGGCTCACACCTAAACTCCTAGCAATCTGGGATGCCGAGGTGGGTGGATCACCTGAGGTCAGGCGTTTGAGACCAGCCCGGCCAATATGGTGAAACCCCGTCTCTACTAAAAATACAAAAATTAGCCGGGCGTAGTGGTGCGTGCCTGTGATCCCAGCTACTCAGGAGGCTGAGGCAGGACAATCGCCTGAACCCAGGAGGTGGAGGTTGCCGTGAGAAGAGATCTCGCCACTGTACTCCAGCCTGTGTGACAAGAGAGAGACTCCATCTCCAAAAAAAAAAAAGATTACACTCAACCAGATAATCCAGGAAAATCTCTATCTTAAGGTCCACAGGACGAATTACCCATCGAACGCCGCTTCCTGCGCAGCACTACCCGGATTAGTTTTTGCTGTGACCGGGGCTCGCGAGAGCCGCCTGAGATCTCCGCGGGCACACCCGGTTCCCGCCAACACCAGGACCAGGGCCGGAGCCGCCGCGAGGGGGCGCCACGATGCCTGCTGACTTTGCTCATGGCGTCCCAAGGCGGCCTCCGCAGGGGCCGTGGAGGCACCCGCCTGAGCCTCCACCTCGTGGTCTGGCTTCAGCTCCTTCAGCCCCTGCTCAGTGAGGCCGGGAGTGGGCACTGGGCTGGGCCCACGCTGGGTGTGGGGTGGCAGTGGGGGTGCTGTGGGAACAGGCGGATGAGGAGGAGGCACCCGGGCCAGCTCCTGTCGTCGGTCCCCGTCTTCACCAGGTGAGCCATACCGACCCGAGGAGGCTTCCAGAGTGACCCCGGCAAGCCCAGAGGCCCGGACGCCTCCCATGCACCTGAAATTCCCGAAGATTCCAGAAACCTCTGTAGCTCCAGGGTCTCCAGCGCCCGCAGGGCCTCCAGGATCCCGGGTGACTTCAGCATCTGCAGTGGGAGGCGCCTCAGAATCCGACGGGATCTCTGACCTTGGAAGGCGGCTTCCTCAGGATCTTGTTTCTGGTGCGAGATCTGTGCTGGCCTGCTGGGGAGGACAGGGGTTGGGGGGCGTCAAAAGGGACACAGCCTGGCTCGGAGTGGGGGCGCGGCGAGGCGCAGACCCTGACCTAGAGGATTTGAGGGAGACCGATAACTCGCCTCTGCCCTGGGCCGCGGGGTGGGGGTGGTGGGGAGGCAGCGGCTTCACTTCCAGTCCCCTCTTTACTGAGCCCACCAGCCTGCCGCCGTCGGATTTCGAGGATAGTTGGGGGATTACCGGCCCCAGAAAAGAAGTGGCCCTGGCAGGCGAGCCTGCAGACCAGCGACGGACACATCTGCGGAGGCTCCCTGATCGGCAGGCGCTGGGTGCTCACGGCCGCCCACTGCATTCATGGGTGAGCGTTTGGGACCGAGTTTGGGCCCTGATAAGGCTGTGGGACCTGGAGCCAGTCTGTCCCCCCTCCCTGAGCTTCTGTAAAAGGGGGTGACAGCCCCATAGTTTTTATCCAGTCTGAGTGAGACCTGAGGATTTGCATTTCTAACAAGTTTGCAGATGCTGCCACTGCAGCCGCTGGTCTGGGGACCACAGGCTAAAGGGGTCAGAGGTCCTGGGTGGATGTGGTTTGAGGGAGGGAGGTGGCTGCTGGCTGTCATAGGAAGGTGGGACCAGGCTGGGAAGCACCTGCAAGGCGTGGAAGGAGAGAGCATAGACCCCCCCAGGATCTCTATGAAGTCCGTCTTTTCTCTCAGCACCAGTGTGGAATACAAGGTGAAGCTGGGAGATGCCCACTGGCTTGCTGATTCCAAAACGGCACCGGTGATCCCGGTTCAAGACATCATTTTTCCCAGCAATTTTGATGCTACCACTTTGATAAACGACATTGCTGTTGTTCTGCTCGCCTACCCTGCGAATTATTCCTCACACATCCAGCCTGTGTGCCTCCCCAAAAAGTTTTTCAAAGTGAAAGCTGGGACAGAGTGCTGGGTGACTGGATGGGGGAAAACAGCAGAGAATGGTGAGATCGTCAAGCGGGATGCTGAGGTGGGACCGCCTGGTGGGCTGGGGTTGGCCTGCAAGCTACTGGGAGGGGCAGGGAGGCCACTTTCTAGCGGGTGGGTAAGGGAGGACATTAGGCTCCATGTCAACATTAGGCTCAAGTTTCCTTCTTGTCAAGTGGGGACAATATTCACTGCCCTGACTTCCTTGAACTTGGCAGCTGTGTTAACGCTGATCGGGACTCAGAGTGGGCACTGGGAGCTCCTGTCCTATCCCTTTGTGAAGATCTGTTCTCTTGTAAATTGTCTCTTTGCAACTTCAGGAACAGGGACACTCGTTCTTCAGGAGGCTGAGCTAAGCATTATTCGTCATGAGAAATGTAGAGAGGTGCTCAAGAAGTTGGGACACGAGAGTGAAACGGTCAAGGAGGGGACCGTCTGTGGCTACAGTGACCAAGGGAAGGATGCCTGTCAGGTCAGTTCATGGGCCTCTTGCTGCCTCAGCACTGCAGTTGTCTCCTCAAAGCTTCCTCATCCGCAGCCAGTAGGGCCTGGGTTATCTCCTAGCCCCTCGGTTTACCCTCACTCATGTAATGGGATGTGAGGACAAGCCACCAAGGCTCTCCTGGGCAGCCTTCCTGGTCCTTCAGGAGAGAGCAGCTAACACAGCCTGGAGTGGGAGGAGGGGTGAATCAGGCAGGTCCCACCAACAATGCGTGCTCCGTGTGGGCTCCTTCTGTGTGACAGGCAGTACTATTACTCAGGTAAGCACTAGACTCATTATTGTCTCAGAGTAGGAATGATTTCATCATGTGTATTAAGTTTTTTGGAACATGCCTTTTCAGTAGGTGCATGATTTTGCTTTATTGGAAATCGTCGATTCTCAGCTCTCTTATCGACAGATACCTAAGGCTAGGAGGGTCTTCGGGGTTCCCGGGGAAGCCCCCTGAGTGCCTAGCTCTGCAGTGCATTGCAGTGCAATCAACCTGCTCTGACGTGGAGGCTATTTGTTTCCTACAGTGACCGTGTTTCTTTTTCCAGGGAGATTCTGGGGGACCCCTGGTCTGTGAATTAAATGGTGTATGGGTCCAGGTGGGGATTGTGAGCTGGGGCATTGGCTGCGGTCGCAAAGGATATCCTGGAGTTTACACGGAAGTTAGTTTCTACAAGCAATGGATTGTTGATCACCTGAAACAAGATTCCTGTCTGGATTCAGCAAACTTTCTCACTCTATTCCTGTGTCTGGTGATGCCCCTGGGCATTCTGGTGACCCCGTGATCAGACCCCATTCCACTCTCCTGCTGTTTCTGAGTCTCACACTTAGGTGTCTCCTCTGACCAACCTCCCACTCCTTCTCAATGCCTTTTCCACAAATCCCAGTTGGAATCCACGGGCCCTCTGGAGATCCATACAATAGAGCATGGCGGGGAGACGGGGGCCTGGAAAGTGTCCCTGCCTGGTGCTCTGGTCATCTGCCTCAGCTGTGCCTGCACCAGGGCTGTGCTCTGCCTGGTGGGAAGGAGGGATGAACCAATTCCAGCTAGAGGACCAGCTGCCCTGCCAGGGGGCCACGGTGACTTTTCAATACCTGGGGGAACGTCTATCAAGGAAGAGACATCATCAACTTTGAAGCAAGCGTTAGACATGGTTCTGGTTTTAGGGGTCTCACCTGAGACTTTGTGAAACCAGCCAGCTGGGTGTTTGTTCAGAGAGAGTGAAGGAGGCATTCCCAGGTCCCTGCAGAGGTGTGAGGCCTGGGACTTCCACTCTGGCTCAGTTGTCTGGGGCTGGGAGAAGTTCCCCTGAAGCCCAGTGTGGGTTCATCTGTGAGTGGTTAGCCTCTGCCACACCAGCTCTCTTGGGGCAACCCATTCTTGGCATCCCCTTCCTCAGTGCCCTAGTGGCCACTTTCAGGGACACCACAAGTTGTGTTGAGGCAGTTATGGAGTGTGGAGTTTTCAGAAATCAACTGAATAAATGTTTGGAGAGTCTCCTTTTACTGAAGCTCTGCTCACCTGGGGAGTTTGGTGGCATATAACATACCTGTAGAGCACTGGCTTCCCATTTAACTAAGGAAGCTATATATGGTAGAAGAAAGGAAGCTATTAAAACGTAGAAGGACAGTTGAGGCAGGCCCTGATTCCTCAAACATGAGCTCTAAGGATGGTTTTAGCCAGTGGGTCTTATAGCCATCAGCATCACTGCAGGGAGCTCTGTAGTTGAGTTTAACAGCCTTTACAGCTAGAGATAGGGGATCAAGAGACTGGAACTGGGCCCAAGAGTGAAGTTGGGGTGTGAGAAATATTGCTCTTCCTCTACTGCTTCTCCTTGCTGCTCCCTCCCACTTGGTTACCAAAGACATGCGTTCCCACCGGGAGAAGGGCAAGAGAGATTCACTGTACTGTACATAGGTTCTCTCCCCTCATTACAAAGTCTGGTGTCCTGGAGTCTGTCTAGCTGCTGATCAACTCCCTCCCAACCTCTTGCCCTTTGCCCTTCTAGGGTTGAATGTTTAACCCCCAGGTATGGGTGGGCTTCAGTCTGAATCAGTCCCTTCTATTGTCTGAGGAAGGTTGAGGCTGAGAGCTTAAATCAAACAAGTCTCTTAATGAATATAGTACTACTTGCTTTAAGAAACCACTGATTTATTTATAAATAGAACAAATTTAACCTTCTTTTCCTAGAACATCCCATTCTGGTGTTCTTGATCAGCAGGTAGCTTTCTCCATCTCGTGGCTTGCTTTTAGTCCTGTAGTGCATGCTTTACCTGCATCAGAATCCCCTAAGGCTTGTGAAAATACAGATTACTGGCCTGCACAGTGGCTCATGCCTATAATCCCGGCTACCTGGAAGACAGGCAGGAGGATTCCTTGAGGCCAGGAGCTTGAGCTCTTAAAAAAAATAGCTGGGCATAGTGGCCTGTGCCCGTAATCCCAGCCACTCTGCAGGCTGAGGCAGGAGGATGTCTTGAGCCCAGGAGTTTGAGGCTGCAGTGATATATGATCATTCCACTGCACTCCAGCCTGGGGGACAGGAGGAGACCTCATCTCTTAAACAAAACTTACAGATTACTGGTTCCTAGTTCCACCCCTGGAGTTTTCTTTATTTTTATTTTCATTCATTCATTCATTTATTGAGACGGAGTCTCACTCTGTCGCCCAGGCTGGTGTGCAGTAGCACAATCTTGGCTCATTGCAACCTCCACCTCCTAGGTTCAAGCAATTCTCCTGCCTCAGCCTCCCGAGTAGCTGGGACTACAGGCGTGCGCCACCATGCCCAGCTAATTTTTGTGTTTTTTATTAGAGACAGGGTTTCACCATGTTGGCCAGGATAGTATTGATCTCTTGACATTGTGATCTGCCCACCTTGGCCTCCCAAAGTGCTAGGATTACAAGTGTGAGCCACTATGCCTGGACACCCCTGGAGTTTTCAATTCTATAGGTCTGAGACGGGGCCTACATTCTCTGTCTTTCAGGTAGAAAGGCCTAAAAGAATGTACGTTTCTAAAAAGAATGTACATTTACCTGAAAGACCTAAAGACCTTTACATTTCTAAGTTCCTAGCTTGTCTGAAGACCTCACTTTGAGAAGCAATGCTCTGGATTAACCTATTGACTGCCTTGGCATGGAAGTGGCAAACATCACTCTATTCATGTGGGCCCACTTAGATGCCAGGCTGGGAAGGAATGTGGCTCCAAGTCCAGCTGATCACCTCCCAATCTCTGCCATGCCTAGCAGATGCAAAGACGGCATCCTTCTGGAAAAAAAAAAAAATCCTTATGGAAGTGCAAGGCCTGGTATAAGCCACCATTCCCTTTAGCTGCCACGATCTTACTGGTTGTCTTCAGAAGAGGACACATGCCTTTCCTTTCTCTGGTCTCCTCCAAGAGTCCTTGTTTTACAGTAGTGGTAGGTCCAGCTCACATACTACTTTCTCAAAGACGTCTTCTCTGATTCCCCAGCCTTACCATTCTTTTCCTTTTTTGTGCTGTCTCCAGCTTTCCAGATTCTCAAACTAAGAGTAATTGTGAAACTCTCCAATGCACCGGGCCCAGGGGACCAAGGGTATAGTCAGAGGCTGGGCAACAAGGTGCCATCAGTAGCCCAGGAATTCAGTGCACCTTCACTGGGACACCAACTTAAAACCCTGGGAGTTGCTTTCCCAGGGGGCCCGCCACCCTGGGAGCAATCCCAGACCCAGGGCTCCCAGGTCGTCCTCAGGAACAGGCAGGAGGTGGAGGTGCGGGAAATGGGCCAGTCTTGCAGGGGAGCGGTCAGGAATTCCCGGAGCCATCACGTGCTAGAGTGCGGTTACGTGTGCTGACGCCAGGCAGGCACGTGCTGGGCTCTGGGAACGGTCTCCGCAGTCGCCAGGTGGCACCTCCCCAGCCTCATGGCCGTCTCTTGGTCCAGCCTCGGTTTGGGGCCTGGAACCTCCAGGCCCTCGGTCCTGAGCCGCGGCGTCCTGCTGCTGCTGCTGCTTCTCCTGCTGCAGCTGAGCTCGGGTGAGGTGGGCGCTCCTCCCAGCTCTACCTTCCCTCTCCCCGCCCCCAGCGCTGCTCTGCCTCCGGCTCCGGCTCCGTGCCTGGCCTTGGAGGCCAGGGACTGGCCCGGGGGTGTGGCTGCCTACTCCTCGGTGGAGGACTTTTGCGGCCAACCCACCCCTCGGTCAGCTCTTCTCTACCGCTCGCTCCCAGGACGATGGAATCGCCAGGGCGATTCCAGGATCTTAAACTTCTGCCCGCTCTGGCCTCCTGCGTCAGGCCACGCCTGTCCTAGAGCCCTCTGGACCAGCGGAGTGGGGAACCCCTGCCTTCCCTCCTCCACTGGCAGCTGCTTCCTTCGCTGCCAGTCTGGACAGCATGGCTAATGTCCCCACCACCCAAGCCACTCTCTCCAGAGCATCCTCAGGCCTCTCACAGGCTCCCCCTCCACCCTCGGCTCTGATCTTCCCACGGAGCTGAGTCCCCCTGGAGACCCCACTTGGACATGCTTTTTGGCCCAGGAAAATTCTTGGTCCCCATCCACTTACAGGAATATTCTAAAATTCACCTGATCTTCCCAGTTCCTCTGTTCCAACCCAGCTTTCCTTCCTTAGCAGCCCATCATTCCCTCAGAAAACACAGGCTTCGGGTGCTTTCTTCCTGAACCGAATCCCCAACCCGCAGGGGTCCCTCCAAACTGGACTGCTCAACACCACCCTCACCTGCTTCTTTAGGAGTCAGAGATGCCTGCTTCCGGTGCAGTGCGGGCTCCCTGTGCCACGCTGCGTCCATCATCCTCTCTCATAGGTATCCTCTCGTTTCTGCCTTGCTGGTTTTCCTCCCCCATCTCTTGCCCCTTCACGGCCAGACTCCCCAGATGTCTTCACTCCGTGCTTCCTGCCAGTGCCTCCTAGCTCCCCACTTAACCCTTAGCTCCTCCCAGGGATGTCTCCACCCTGGTGGTCCCTGGCCTTGTTACCACTCCCTCCTCTTTCATTTTCTGTGGGTCCTGAGTCTCCTGTACCTCAAGGATCACTCCCTCTCTCCTCTGTGTCTGCCCAAGGCCACCCTGCTCTGCTCATCCCTGACGTGTTGGTGTCCTCTAAGCTGCTCTCTGTGTTTCCTGCTCCTTGTCTGTTAACTGCTCCCTGGGTGAACTCACTTGAGCTGCCATTTATGTGATGGTGTCTCATAAAATGTGTCTGGATGTGCAGCTGCCTCCTGAATATCTCTACCTGAAAGACCTAGAAACGTTTCAACCCCTTGGAGTCAAAGCTGAGGCCTTCATCTTCCTACCAACTGACTTCTCTCATTGTTTCCTAACTCAGTGGATGGCAGCTACTCTTCTCCAAAACCAGAAACTGGTGTGATTCTAAGTCCAACACACAGCTGGCCGTATCTGTTCTCACAGCCGCTTCCTCATTCAGACCTCCTCATTTCTTGCACTGGCTCTGCAGAGCCTCTGGTGGGATCCCCGTGCCCTCCGTCTTGTCATCTTCCTGTCTAATATCTATGCTGCCTTCACAATACACGCCTGGCTCAGTCTTACCTCTGTTGATCTCCCTTTACCCGGAAGGTCTCACCCCAGCTTCTTGGCTCAGTTTTCGAGGCCTTCGTGACTGAGGCCTGACTCTCCTCCCCTGGCTCATCTCTTACCCTCACAGGCCTTGCCCCTCATCCTCTGGAGTCTCTGGCATACACCACAATGTTTCTTCTACCAGGAATGTGATGATCACTTTTCATTTCTGTTTTACCCTCTCATCTTTAACACCTGGCACAATAAGCCCTCCTCCCACTGAGGTGGTTCTTTTCTGTCCACCACTTCTTCTGGGCTCCCCTGATGCCTGTGGCTCAGTCCCTGCACTGATCACATGCAGGCTGTTGTGTATTTACCTCTGTCTGCCCTGTTGGACACTGTATTCCTTGAGAGTAGGCTCTATTTGACACACCTCTGTCTCCCCAGCCTCTGGCTCCAGGCTGGGAACAGAGTAGGAGATTAGGACCTATTAGGTGAACGAATGAGTGAACTAATTTAAAAATGCGGCTCTTTGCT